ATATATACAAGAGTGTCTATGCACTCTTGTAAGAAACAAGCGAATGAACTTTATTTTATTACTCAAGCTGATACGTACTATTAATATACTAAGCATACCACGCTTCGTCGTACGATATAGTGAAGTAATATCGTTCCGCGTGTATTTCGTGCGGTCAATTATTTAACGAATAGGCGTATAAGTAAAAGCTCAAGTTGAAAACGAACAGTGGCATACCATTGTTCGCTAACGAGGCGAACGCTAGTATGCCGACAGCTTGAACGATTCTTTCACTTTTGATTCGATCGTAAAATTACGATTGTTTCGTGCGATGATTTCAGCTCCAGTGGCTACAGCAGCTGTCGCCGCTCCTGCGCTTCTCGCACCTGGACTGACCACCGCAATCGGAGCTGCACCCGCTCTCACCGCTGGTTTAACTCCTCTGGGGCTTAACGGGCTTGGAGCTTTGCAGGGATTAGGAGCCGTCAAGGTTCTTTAAGGTCCACACGCTCGAACCACTACGAAGCGGCGGAGGACTCGACTAAAACCACGACCGATTATGAAACGCGTTCAAACATTCGTGTCGATGGCGAATCGTTTTTACTACCTAAACGATCAACTTTGTCACAGAATGTAATAATCGAATATTCAATAAATCAATCGTAACTCTATACGAAGCTCGGAGACCAAATTCGTACTCTTGTTCGCTCGTTCTCATCGTTCCAATCGAGCGGAGAAGCTCATAACTCATAGGAACGTTTTACGTTGAATTTTATGATTTCTGAAATCGTTTTAATCAAGACTATCGAGTATTTTACGGTCAAGATGATATCAAAATGATACGATTATATTTAAATTAACTTCTATTTCCTACAAATACATAGTGCGTTCATACGTATACATATTGTATGAATTCTGAGATGTACCTCTCTCTGTCTCACTCGTTCTTTTTCAATATTCATTTTCAGGCCTAACGTATTCGCGAATCCAAGTCAGATAATAGCGATTACTTCGTGATAGACCTGTGCCAAGTGGTAATCATCTATCTGAACATTGTTGTGCGATTGCGATAGATTCTTCGATTTACGTACTATGAGTATTCTCGTTCAATAGAAGATACAGCGAACATCTGGCAAGATATAACAGAATCAACGCTGGCCGAGAATACCTAACAAACATGAAATTAACGGCGAAGGGGGAAGGAAAATATAAGGCGCAACTTGCTACGTTTCAATACATATCGTATTTAATAAATAGAAAGTAAAAGACACTTTTAGTACAAACATAGTGCGATGAAAGTTATTCCAAATGATTGTCAGAGCAACGGTCCAAGAAACTCAGAAGGAGACACGATTACCAAGAGTAAGAGACACCGATGGGGCTGCTGTAGGCCATGTGCGAAACAGCTACCGCTGGAGAATAAGCGACGCCAAGGAGTGGGCTCACGGGTGCTGCCAAGGGTGCTGCCAAAGGTGCGTGGGCTGCGGCGTATGCCACTGGAGCAGTGTGAGCATAGATGGCCGGGTTGGTTACGCGAATATCGGATCTGCTAGTGCTCGAGAATGGGGTGGCAACTGTCTTCGATTGGGTGGCAATTTGTGCCAGATTTCCCGAGCTGCGAAGGATATTGTCCGATGTCGACGTTAAAGCCGCAGGGGTCAGAGTATATTGTCCAGCTGGTGCCAAGATACCGGCGTTGCTCATGGCAAGAATGCAAGCGAGTACTATGATCTGAAAAAGAAAGGAACAAAATTAGCTCAACGATGCCGTTACCGAAACAACTCCTTTCCCGCAGTTATCATCTTCCTTTGTTTCAAGTATATTACACGTGTATTTCGAAAATTTCTGCGACTCCCAAATAATTCAATCCTGTGTTAGAACAAGATCAGAACAAAGAGGCGGGCAAAAGAGAACTTCAAGACCTGAGAATGCAAAATTACAAAAATAATTAACGAATAGTTTAGTTTGTAAACTTGCAAATGGTTTCCACTCGTTTGAGTCGAGTCACATTTGGAATACACGTGAGATACGTTTCAAGTATAACGCAGAGCCGTATGATAGAATTTCGATGTTCGTAACAAGTTATTCTGCATCGCTTACCTTCGAGAACATTGTGAGTCTGAAAGAGAACCTTGGTCGATTCGCTAACAATGTACGAAAGCAAGTGCGTGCTGATCCTTTGGTATCCGAAATCTTATATAGTCCGGTTCGGGTAGGTGAATGAGATACGCGAAATCAGGTGGGGTACAAGGGCGTGTTTCGAACGAGCACCGAAAATGACTTTCGCCATAGGAACATGCGTAATCGTTTGTATACTTTTCTCTGCCACGCCCGAATCTCCTTTTTCTCTTTTTCACTCTTTCAATAATATATCGTTAACTTATCCCCCTCCGACCTTGGACTAAAAATCCAAAACCTTCGACTGGTTGTCGTCAGAGAAAAAAATGACCGCGATCCATTTATTCTATCATTTTATCCTCTTGCCAAACCTCTGCTTGAAATCTGAAATACCGATGTAAATGATAGCGTACCATTCGAACAGTCATCGTTCTCGCTTTCGAAAAATGTACCTATCGTTTACCTCAGAAAAAATCCTTTCTATTTTTTTACATAAAACTACATGATTACAAAATACGCCTCGTCTCTGTATGTTTCAGATAAAGTATATTTTTATAGAAGATATATTTATAAAAAATAATTTCGATGAAAATCCTGTTTATTTGATAAGGGACAATTGCAACGCTGTTTACAAATCAAATTAAATATTTTATACAGCTTCTACTTCCCAAATCATGTATATTACAATTTTCAACCTGTTACATTTCATACATAAATTTCTATGAAATTGTTAAACTTCTAAGTTATTTGGAATGTTCATAACGAAATTGGACTAGTAGTTGAGTAGTAGTTTGTGTTTTTGGCTGATAGGCTCCATATCGGGCAAGTCGCGATTTTGTATTATCGTTACTAGTGAGTAAAATTAATCTGTATTAGAGTTGCGAAACAGTCAAAATTCCACGTTTTAAGCTACAGTGGCGAATGAATGTTAATTTCACGCGTTGAATTAGAGCCGTTATAATTCCTAATACTCCTCTCTGCTAACGTTAAACATGTAATCTTTTTCCATCTTAAACAAATATACAATAGCAGTTAATACTAATTGTCAGAAACGCTACGAATATTTCAAACTAACATGTACGATAGATTAATTATTGAGTGAAAGACGTTTCCCGCCTTTTTTTTCTTCAAATATCAAATATCAGAGATACGCATCTCTGAAGTTACGGCCTCTATACGAAGCTTTGTCGAACTTGTGAATGATATGATACTTGCGCACATGTGTTTGTATTCTACACGATTTGAAATCTTACATTCTTGATAGATTGAAGTCAATCGGTAACGAAGAAATTGAAAATTCCGTGAATTATATTAAATTTATTCCGAATAAGAAAGGTAAAAGCAACAAATAGATCTAAAATATCGAAATATGAGTCAACGGTTTGAAAAATTGAGAGAACGTGGAAATAAATCGGAAATATGCGCATTTGTTCAAGAATCGAGCGTGGAACAGGTAATCATAAATATTCCATTTTAACCATAACTTATGACTTTATAACTGACGTATATGGTGGTAACATTTAAGATTAAAATGTAATTTCATTAGCTTACGCGATTAATACATAGCAGTATTTGTAAATCGAATGGAATAAAAACATTAGATAACCTTCTGCAAGCATTTTCCAATTCTGAAGCCTGTCAAACTAAGCGACGAAAAGTGATTGAATCTACGTTAAAAAATTTGGAGGAAACTAACATATCTCTAGGGCAGGCAAATGCGATCGTTAGCCGAATAATTTCTGACTTGCCAAACTATTCGAAGCAACATCTTGTCAAACTTGTTGACTTCTGTCTTACAAATATTCGCAATAATGATAATGAGCTATGCAGGTATAGCAATTTGTTTTTGCTCCCATTTTCTTCTCTTCTTTTTCTTTCTGCATGAAAGTTTTTCAAACCATTTTCTTCCTTTTTCAGTTGGAAGGATTTATTACCTGCATTACTGGAGGCACTGGAAAATGAAAAATATATTGTTCATGCAGATGCTGAAGTTTCTGGCACTGAATATAAATCGCTAATTATTAAAGCCATATGTAATTATCATTGGAACGTCAATCTCTTACCATCTTTGGCAAAAATGTTTGGGTAACTGACTTTTTGTGTCTATATGATTGAATCTTACATATATGAAATTTTAGAGATAAAAGAGTTATTTAATTTTACCCATATAAAGGGATATGGTACTAGATAAAACAGATCGTAATGAGGTTTTGAGGACATTATGTTCTTCTCTTCCAAATCTCCCTCTAGATCAAGTACCCTCGTTCACATATCAGACGTTAAAATTATGTCCAAATCAAGATAATAGAAAGCTTTTAAATGCCTTGTCCAAATACTTTGAGCTATGTTATTCAAAAACAAGTTTGTCCGATGACAGTAATAGTCTTGAAAATATTGGTATGTAAAATATGTAACTAACATCTGTGTATATTCATTGCATAAGTTTCTAATTGCCATTTTTGTTTTTATATGGATATTTATAGATATAATAAATTTAAAAGAGGTACAAGACATTGAGAGCACTGTTTTGTATCATGTGTACCAAGCTGCTCAGTTAAATCATGAAAACATGAAAGATTTTATCCGTTTCCTTAAACATGTGTCTCATGCCCCAGAGTACGTGCTACAACCCTTTATGCTCTCTGTACTGATGTCAGTTTCTACAATATACGAAGATCAGGTAGTAAACATTTTTAGTATGAAATCAAAAATTTGTATTTTTACTTTATTATTCTGACGTAAAATATTCTTAACAGATATTTGAGATATTAAGACTGGCTGTGGTTAATAGTAGCTTAGAAAAAGAAAAACGACAAAACAGTGCATGGATGAGACAACTTTTACCTACACCTTGTAATATAATTGGGATTATTCGACAAGTCATTGATAGCAGGTCAATTCAATTAATATTTCTTTTTTCACATATACGCTTTATTTTACTGTCTAATTTTAATTTTGCAGCAATAAAGATCGTCATTTAGTACTAAGGGGACTTACAAATTTAGCTTTTACGTTAATGAATGCTGATCAAAAATCCAAAAATAATGCAACAGCTATGTGGCGTATTGGATCCGAAATAATACGAGAAATAATTAAGAAACGTCACGAGACAGTTCCTATTGTGTTACAAGAGTTGATTAATAAAATAGTAGCAGGTGGTATGCCGACAACACACTACACAGGTAAAAGGGCAATAATATTATCAGAGAATTGCACCAAATATGACTCTATTCTTTAATCCTACTTAAAACAAATGTTTTCTAGACTGTTTAAAGTATATGTGCCGCGAATTGTCAATAGTTGTTTTGGATCATCAAGTCTGGATTATAACTATCCTCGAACGATTGTTATTTTTACACCCTACAGTTGCTAATCAAGTTTTATATGCTATTTTGCCATTAGCGCGTGTTTCACCAAATATACGAGAAAACCTTTTATTGACTTTGAGAAAAGCTCTTTACAGGAAAGGTGCATTAAAACGACAAACAGCTGTGACAGGGTATCTTGAAATGTTAAAATATACAAATGTGCATTCTCAACTTAGCTTTAGACTTAGTCAATTTAATGATTCAATGAGCACTAGTTCTAGATCAACATTAACTCAGGTATACATAAAGATCATAAATAAAAATGGAAAGAAACTACTTCCACTTATCTTTATGAAAAAAATTCTACAATTTTTATCACTGAATCTAGGTAACTTTGGAGTATAATTCGCAACGAGGAAAATCGGTGACAGACTGCGATAAAATTTTATATTATGAAATATCGGATATATTAAAAAAGACCTTTACTTATGAGTATGAAACCAGATTACACCTGTACGAAGGTATGGAAGATTTGTTTGAATGACCAACAATTTGTTGTTTGATATTGTCATTTTCTTAATCTCCATTACGTTTTTAGGCCTGTATGGTACTGTGACCAAAAATCCCGAAATAACAGAAATTCTAGTAGACATGCTCCTTTCACATTTGAATCTATATCTTCATACAGATGATAGTGCCTTGCCACCTGTAAAATTGGAATTGTGTACAGATGTCCATGGAGTGGAAATAGTATTACAAGAACCTATTGCTCAATTGATATTTACATTACAAAAGACATATATTAATACAGTTGTAAAAAATTCACGTACTCTTGAAAAATTACATGATATTTTGAAATCACTGTGCAGGAAAATGGCAATTACAGAATTGGAGCATTTAAATTTGGTAATTAAAATTTAAACGCCAATATAGAAAGTTGATATGTCAATGTAAAAATAAACCTCAATAATTTTAGGAACATGGAACTGATTTACTTCATGGAGACTTTCCAAAGTCAGAGATCAAGTTAAAGAATCTTGGTATGGTCATTGGGATATATGAGGCTTTAATGGCGTTTCAAATTGGAGAATGGTCGAAGGGGAATGAGGAAAGCTCTCATGATACTAACAATTTGTTCAAAGGATATACACGTTTGATAGACTTCATTAAAAAGGTAGAATAATTTTTCTTTATATAATATAGTTTATTTTAGCTTCATGGCCATAAGAGGAAGTCAGTTTACAACAAAATTATTCTCCTTATTGTCTTGTACTCTCACTTTACACACACAACCTTATGCTACCCTTATTTTACTATCCCTTATCTACTGTCTACCATGTAATCCTTAACTATTATGTATGTCTATTATCTGTTGCATAAATCTTTACCTCCTTAGCTAGATATTCCCCTCTCTTTGCTCTTTCGTTTTTCTTGTTTTTCAATTTCCTCATCCAGTCTACACCCTTATTGTTTCCTTTCTTACTGGTTATCTCTCCTAATCCCCTACTCTTTTACCGCATGCTCTTGATTTCTGTATTTGGATTTTATTTACTTAGCTATTGTATTAAAAATCATGACATTCGCTATGAATTTTTCTAGCAATCCACAAAAACGAAAAAAAGTGATGGTAATAAATCTAAAAAGGACAGAGATCCCAATAATACAACTAAAAAGTCGGCTAAATCGAATAATATCAAAATACCAAATACTATTATGGATTTGGATGTAATTCGTCAAAGTTTACCGCTCTTATTTTCGTAAGTACCATGATGATTGAAATGAGTGTTGCAATTACTAAACCATTCTGAATGTTTCCATAGTTTTAAATTGCTTATTTTTATCTTAACAATGAATTGTAATTCATAAATAGAAGGTCTTCTACTCAAAATGATGTTGCACTTAGAAGAGACCACAGCTTTTGTTGCTATATTTTACAAACATGTGAACAACTCTTGCAACACACAAAATCATTTATACAGGATACCTCTCAATTGCAAAATCATAACTATATAAATACATATATTGATGTTGGAAGGTAAGTTCTGAAATGGGATAATAATGCCAATAAAAGCATAATAATAATAATGAAATCATTTTTAGATTGCTTTATAAATATTTTGTACAAAATCTGGATGATGCACTTATAAATGATGAACAAGTAACTATATTGGCTTTACAATGTTTCAAGGAAATTTCTTGCTGTATATGTACATTACTCTCATCTGAATTACCAAAATTTCTCAATTCAATTTGTATGTATTTATCTAACTACGTTTACTACGTTATTTCGACAATTTAGATCACAATTTTATTTATTGTTTCAAGTTGAAGTACAATCCAAGAAGGAATCAAAATCTACAAATATCAATTCTCAATTACAAGAAATTATTTTTTCATTGAAGTCGTATCTCAAGAAGTTTCTTACAGAAGAAACGCACAATGATGACAGGGAGAAAGTATCACTTCTGTTATTACAAACAATAGAACAATTTACATATAAGATTAACTTTGAAGATTACAATTCTGAAGAGGTTAGTATATCTTTCATGAAAATTATCTTCTTTGTTTATATAAATCCCTTTTTTCACTAAAAAAGATGCTCGAATGTATAAAAGAAATTATTCAAGTAGAAGATATTCGAAGCCCCATTGTTTCTACAATCATACAATTCTTCTTGAACTTGGAAGAACATAGTCAAGTATGTGGAGATACATTGAATGAAATTTGTGTGGAATTATGTGAAAAAGCTGGAAACATTGATAACGTAAGCAATAATTTTTGTTACATAATATTCAAAACTTTTATGTCTTAAATTGATTGTTATTCTTACCTAAATGTAGGTAGCAATTGAATTAGTAGCAAATAGTTCATATAAAAGTATACGTGAAGATACTATACTACAAGTTTATAATGTTTTGAGTGGTCACATTAAACAAAAATTGGATAGTGCTTCGTGGTTATTGTTGCGATTAAAGGCAGAAGACACTATAGCTAGAGCACCTGGAACAATTGATGAAACTTGTAAATATAAATTTTAAATTCCAAATCAAAATTTTATAATATTCACAAAAAATGATATTGTCTTAACAGGGAATAACAATTTAAGAGATAAAGAACGAAATCTATGTAGACAATTATCTTATCTTGCTCAAGCACTTCAAACATTAGCTAATACATCGATCAAACCAGGTCCATCCACTGACTTCACCTTCAAAAATTTACAATACTTGTATCATTTACTTGGTAATCTTACAAAATACTTTTATGCTAAATCGAATGATCAGAATGCAGCGTTCCAAGCAGTCAAGTATGTGCTGCATGTACATATATCACTTTGTAACTAATGATTTATACGTTTACCGAAATTGACAAATCTCACTGGTTATAGATTCATTCAGGTGGTACAAATAGCTGGAAAATCATTAAAATCTGCTTTCTATAATTTGGTAACATATGTAGAGGTATGTCGAATTCGAATTTTTCGTACATTATAAATAAAAATCAATGTCATCAGTATCATTATTCATTATTTTATTTTATTACAAAATATCTTCTGAAGGAAAATCAAAATAAATTAAAATCAAAATCCGATTCATACGCACAAAGGAATAAAATTTTAAAAGAAACCAAAGTAATACCTCGTGTAGTATATGAAATCGAGCAATTTAACAAAGAAATATTACTACTTGGCAAAAGAACGGGCGTAAGTATAAAACACAAGTATTAAATATTTTATTCTTCGTTCCTCTTTATATTCACAATTTTTAACTCGCATAAATCTAGATACCGCTAGAAAATTACTTGAAACAAAGTATAACGAGAGATTTTAGAATTAAAAATCCACAATTGATAGAGGGACTTGAGGGAATGGATGTCAGTTTAGTAAGTAAAAGAAAAGATATTGCATTATACATTATTTTTCACAAAATTGTCTGTACTGTAATAATTCTAGAATATGTCTAAACTTTATAGCTCAATACACAAGCTCCAGAAAACCCTGAGAGTGAAACATCGAATATGAATGATTGTGACAGCAATAGTGACGATGATACATCTCAAAGCAAACGACTCAGGGTGGATGATTGAAACATTATTAATATTTAATACTGTCTTATTATAAAAAAGCTTGTATTTTAAATATTTTTATATAAAAATTGTTTAATAAATTTTAAAATGAAAAATTTTACGGATCTATCTTTGTCAACTTATATCACTTGTTTTGTCTACTTATATTTTCATTTGTATAAACTATTTTTTGTACTATTTATATGTCTTATTATTCTGATTAGATTTATGAAAACAATAGAACTTGCACAGGTTAAGGAATCTCTATCAATGGTAAAGAATTTTATGGAATCATCACATTTATAATTTTTATGCTACAAAATCCAATGGTCTATTGAATCCTCCTTTTCTGTTCATGTATTGTCTATACTTTCGTTTAAGAATAACATGTACGGCTCCTACATCGTTCCCTTCAACTTTTTTGCCTTTAGTAGTGTCAAAACCACAAAAGCCCATTATTCTCATCATTTCTTGTTCCTCTGGTGTTTTTCCTTGAAGATCAGCCTCTGCAAGATATTCATTTAAAACAGTCAGTTATTTTATAATTTATATCGGGCTTTACTAATATTAGATTTACATACCTGTAATCACAGGACGTTCTGTTGTGGGTTTTAATTTGGGTTTAGGTCTGTCCCTTTCTCTTGATCTAGATCTGCTATACGAACGTCTATGTCTGTCCCGTTCACGATCACGATCTCTTTCTCTATCCCTCGACTTTACTCGATCTCGTTCAACGGACCTAGGATTATTTGAAATTCATGCAATCTTTATATCATTTAAGTCTAATAGAAAAATATAGGAAAATACCTTCTTCTTCTTTCACGAGAACGTCTTCTTCTTCGATCTCTATCTCGTTCGCGTTCTCGATCACGATCTCGAGACCGATCTCTTCTTCTTCCTGGTGAAGGTGTACGACTACGTCCCATACTTCGTATTACTTAATTATTTATAATTAACTTAATAATAACGTGATAAAGGCTGTCGAGTGGACATATTCATATATGCACGAACGTTTTTATATCGAATATATAATTGATAGAATGAAGAGGTTATGTTTACATAAATTGAATCATATTAGGTTATGTCTAACACAGTTGTAGTATTATGCTACATAACTATATAATATCTATATTTGGTATGCTCATATCATTCACAGAATAATAGTAAATAAGATCTTCAGTTATAATATAACAATAGTATCTTGTGGTGTAAATGATCTCTTAATATGTACAGCAAAAGATAGTGTTATGCTTCGTGATGTACTTTATAGCCGACGACTCATCGACATTTATTGTCACGTTTGTATTCGTACATAATATAGTTAATTCATAATATTAATATAATTTAATCATTATTGATCATGCTTAAAATACGAAAAATTAAATTATTTTCATTCTAATTGCTTATTCAGAAAATTGATTAATTAATAAAGTTCATATTATTTCATAGCGGCTTAAAGAGCTAGGAAATAATACATATTATTTGTATGTATCAGTTATTGATATTTAATCATTAATTCATTAATATGAACTTAAAATATTACAAATTTGCATGAGGATATGTTGTAGAAAGTGAAGGGTCAATAACAAAAAGACAAAAATAAAGAAAATTTTTTAAACACGAATTGATAGTTTATACATTTTTTATATGTGAAAAATAAGAAAATTTGAGATTATAAAGATATTCCGTACATTGCGAATATAATGACAAAATACATATGTATTTTTATATGTACTATATGTACATAATGATCGAATTGCAAGTGTCAAAGATATACATATGTATGTGAACAAAAATAGACCACAAGAATGTGCATCACGAACTTTTCGTTCAATTGGCTAGTTACGACTTGGCTAGCAAAAGCTAGTTTTAGCTAAGATATGCTATTTATATTCGTTTATTAGATTTAATCTTAAGTGCGACGTAACTGAGAGCGGACTTGTCAAATATAACTTTTTATATTCACTCTGTTACTCTTAAATCTAAAAACGATACTTTGATGAAACAAAAATTCACAGTTTAGTACCAAGTTTAAACACAGTTAATTATGAAAAGTACCAAAATAGGAAAATAGCTTTTCCGATGAATACTTGCAATTAACTTGAGTACATTTCGAGATGATTCGAAGTGGAGGATATAAGAGGCCGACGACCGTTCTTGTGTTGCATCATTAAGTTTCAATCGTTCAAAGAAGCGGCACCCATCTTCTGTGTAAACGTGTTATTCGTCAGCAAAAAATTCTGTGTTTAATAAAGTTTTATATCTCTACGTAATTAAAATGGTAAGAAAAATTTACAATTCGGTCCAAAGTGACTACTGTAGTCAAAGTAACAGAAAGAAAAAGATGAAATAAAAAATTCAACTAAATAATAAATCATTAATACACTATTAGTCTGGATAACATTTTGTTTATTATTAAACGATGTAAAAATTAGTTTCCTGTATTCTAATTTTCTTTGAAAAAGAAGTGATGATTCGATATTTTGAATTCAAAGGGGCAATTGTATATACGATAAGAGCAAGGGTTGAAGAAAAAGATCATTATAGAAAAAATTTTTACGTTTCAGCGTGAGTGTATATCTATTCATGTCGGTCAAGCTGGCGTTCAAATTGGGAACGCTTGTTGGGAACTTTATTGTTTGGAACATGGAATACAACCGGATGGACAAATGCCATCAGATAAGTTTGTTGGCGATGATAGCTTTAGCACTTTCTTCAGTGAAACCAGCTCCGGAAAACATGTGCCCAGAGCAGTATTTGTTGATTTGGAACCTACAGTAGTTGGTAAGAGAAAAAAGAAGTCATTAGATCATTAAAAATTTGATATTCAGAAACAGTGACGATATTGTTTATGCGTTTGTAGACGAGGTTCGAACTGGGACGTACAAGCATCTTTTCCATCCAGAACAATTGATCACTGGCAAGGAAGATGCAGCAAATAATTATGCTCGTGGTCATTATACAATTGGTAAAGAAATTGTCGACCTGGTTATCGATCGAATTCGTAAATTAGCGGATCAATGTACCGGATTACAGGGATTTCTTATCTTTCATTCGTTCGGTGGTGGTACTGGATCAGGATTTGCTTCCCTATTAATGGAGCGTCTTTCTGTTGACTACGGAAAGAAATCTAAATTAGAATTTGCGATATATCCAGCTCCGAGAATTTCCACGGCAGTTGTTGAACCATACAATTCCATTCTTACCACTCATACGACTCTCGAGCATTCAGACTGCGCTTTTATGGTCGACAACGAAGCGATCTACGATATCTGTCAACGTAATCTGGATATCGAGAGACCAACTTACACTAATCTTAATCGGTTAATCGGACAGATTGTTTCTTCCATAACAGCTTCGTTGCGATTTGATGGTGCTTTAAACGTAGACTTAACCGAGTTTCAAACGAATTTAGTTCCTTATCCAAGAATCCACTTCCCTTTAGTTACGTATGCTCCTGTAATATCCGCCGAAAAAGCACATCACGAGCAACTCTCGGTCGCGGAAATCACCAACGCATGCTTCGAGCCAGCGAATCAAATGGTCAAATGCGATCCCAGGCACGGAAAATATATGGCTTGTTGCATGTTGTACAGAGGAGACGTGGTTCCAAAGGACGTAAATGCTGCAATCGCTATTATTAAAACGAAACGAACGATACAGTTTGTCGATTGGTGCCCGACAGGATTCAAAGTTGGTATAAATTATCAGCCACCAACAGCTGTACCAGGTGGAGATCTAGCTAAAGTTCAACGCGCTGTTTGTATGTTATCTAATACAACAGCTATTGCTGAAGCTTGGGCTCGTCTTGATCATAAATTCGACCTTATGTACGCTAAAAGAGCTTTTGTTCATTGGTACGTTGGAGAAGGCATGGAAGAGGGTGAGTTTTCCGAAGCTCGTGAGGATCTTGCAGCTCTTGAGAAGGATTACGAAGAGGTTGGGCTAGATTCGGTTGACGTAGAAACAGATAATGCCGACGAATACTGAATACTTATTTTTCTCATACCTTTAGTCCTTTGGTCTATTCTTCGCTAATTTTCTCGTTTCACCACTTAACTCTGATTTTCGCGCTTTTCCTCATCTTTTTTAAAACTTCTACTGCCGAGAAATCTTGTCAGGAACAGATATTTTTTATCTTAACATATATAGTTAATAAATTGATATTGTAAAGTATAATGATGTATCATAAAAAGAGAAGATTGAAAAATAGTATGTAAATGTGACACATAACGTACTTACATACAATAGCTTAAATAGAGGCGGCACAAGAAGGGATAAGGCATATTTGGAATAAAGAAATTGAAGATGAAAATTATAACACGACGAGGAGTTATCCCACATATTTTCTTGTCAATCAGAGACGTATTTCGTTTGTTTCGTTTTATTGCATTACACAAACGGGGCTGGGGAGGCAAAATTAAATAGCGGATTAAATAGTTCAGCGCGACGCTTTAACAAATTAAAAACGTAAAAACATTAACAGTACAATATAGTTTCTTATCGTACGTAGACGTAATGCGATGGCAGTCTTGAGTCCTGGAAAGATGCTGTGATTGTTGCACGGTTATTTCAATTTTAAATTTTCTATGTTCTATTTCCTATTTTCTATTTTCATTCGTCTCCGGTATATGCATTTTTTTTAACTCGCTTTGCGATCTTCGACTCTTCTCTGTCTCGCGGCTTAATCCTCATTCGGTAATAGTTCTTTTATTTGCGATAAGCTTTTGCTCGTGGCAGTGTCTGGAAATAAAAAATCGAAGGGGAAACCTTTTATAAAGTACGATCCAATAACAACTTATGTTTCCATTATTTATACTCGTGATGCATATCGAAACAGACATTGATTAAACAGTATGATTTTCAGAGACTAGTGGACAAAAAATGAGTTACACGCAATCCCGAATAATAACGTGTGACCGTATAAACACCATCATAGCAATCATGATTCTAACTGGCGACTATAGGATACGAAATCTAAGATTGCTGCAACTATGCGAATTACATTAGCATCAATAGCTCTTCTACTCTATAATAGTAATAACAATAATAATAATGAAAATTAAGAAAGAGAAGGAAGACATATTCTCACACAGAAATTTCTATCCTACCTTTCTTCTTTGAACTTCTTCTTACGATTAGTATTTCCTGGATACAAAAAATTTGATGTAAGTCGCGGTATAACTATTCCAATTAGCAAGAAGATAAGTGGAAGATTCGTGTGAAGTGACAATTTTATTCCCGTCATCAATCATAACATAACCTTTTAAACAAATATCTGCTAAAAATGCGACATTGATCTACGCAAAGTCAACTGGTTAGAATCAATAATTGTAAAAAAAAGAAAAAAAGAGAAAAGAAAGATTAACGCATGTATAATCGAGAATAATGAATGAGGTGGATACGGATAAAGATACCAATTCCAATATTGTGTATTTTGTACATACGTACCAAAGTTAGGACTACCTACGCCTCGACTGGCTTCTTCTTCTCTTTCTTCTTCTTTAGGAAAGATGGTGTCCTAAGGCCTTTCTTCTTCTTCTTTTCCTTTTTCGGCGACTCCTCGCTAACGCTCACATCCTGCGACACGGAACCCTTAACACGGAAGGTCCCAACCGTAACCATAAACCTTTCTGCATGCACATGCAAGTAGCCAATTCGCCTTTTCCTTCTTTCTCCCTACAAGCTCGCACACGCGCGCGCGCGCCTGCTCTTTCTTCCTCGAATCTTTTCTCCCATTATGTATCGTTTTATCAATATATGTATATATATATGTACAGTACTGTGCAAAAATGTTAAACCATCTATAAAAAAGGAAGTATTTCATTTTTATGAAAGAGTATAACGATACTTGATGTTGTTCGAACTCTGTTATTACTTTCAAGAATTTAATTCACGAATTGTCAGTATAGCTGAACTTCCCTAATTCGAATTTCTATAACTTTATTCTGTAGTATGAATCCGCTATGAAAATCTTTACATATTGAAATATAAACTTATTATAGTTCGAATTATTTGTCATATGACTAGGCATGTTATTTTACCCTCATAATTCGAATTCGAAGAAACCTAACCTTTGCAAGTAAAAGTTTACTAGCTATAAGTTGAAGTTCGGGGCCGGTTACTTTTACGATTCGAAATACATAATTGTAATTATAATTGCATATATATATTACGGCAAACAATTCTATATCAATTTGTACTCACTGTAGAGAATATCTGAAGGTTTGTCTTTATTTGAATCATAGTGGTATAAGTCAGACCACTGATTACACAAAACAGTATTCTATGTTTATTATTATACAGTATTGATTATATTTTT